CTCTGTAATCCCAGCACTTTGGGAGGCCAAGGCAAGAGGATCATTTGAGGCCAGGAGTTCAAGACCAGCCTGGGCAACATAGTGAGATCCTGTTCCTACAAAAAATATTAGCCTGGCGCATGCCTTTAGTCCCAGCTACTCAGGAGGCTGAGATGGGGAATTGCTTAAGCTGAGGAATTCAGGGCTGCAGTGAGCTATGCTCACACCACTGCACCCCACCCTGGATAACAGAGCAAGACCCTGTCTCTTAAAAAAAAAATCTATAGTGACCTCTCCCAGAGTAACTGAGTCAGACAACAACTGTGACTAAGATGCATCTTACCTGTTCATCTTTAATTAACATACCCTAAGTCTCTAAGAAACCTCCAGAAAGCAACAGAAAGGTATAAATCCCTTCTACCTCATATATGCCAAAGAGTAGTACAGATGTAGTTTAATCTAAGCTACTTCACTCAAATGAGTGGGATAGTGGAGGAGTTCTGTGCAGTGGAAAAAACACAAATCAAACAATCAGCCTCAATAAACAGTTGTGCTTCTTTCTATAGCAGGATAATTGTATAAAATATATTTTGAAAGTCACCAATTATTTATTTACATAGTATTTTGTAATGACTTCTAGAAATGTAATTATAATCTTTGTGCGAAGCCTCCCAAGTGCTTTGAAGATCAAAACTGCCATGGGTGACAAGATTGCAATTATAAAGACATGCAGTGGTTTGGGTCATGTACGCCTTGCTGGTCCCTCCTTGCCTTGTCATACCTTGCCCTTCACTAGAATTAATGAGAAATAGTTTTGGCCACCTCTGTGTAGTGAAAATCTTTTAGAACCATGTAGGATGAAGTGAGATAATGTATAAAATCATTTGGGGGTAGGAGTGCTACTTAAATAAAGATTATTATATAATGAGGCCATACTTATCAGAGTAAGTATGGTGGGGAAGAAGGTGGCTTCTGCACTGTAACATCACTAGACTGGTTCCTGAGAGTAGTGCTTGACTTTTATAATTCAACTGAATATGATTCAAACTTATTACCATAACGTACACCTGTTAGTCAATTGCATGGCAATAACTTCTCATTCGGTTATAAACCTTTAAGTGTTCTTGTTCCACTACAATATTTAAGGCTACCCAATGTCAAGGAAATATTTTCTGAATCATTGTATTGTACCTCTGAACTGGAAGACATCTGGTATTATATCTCTCTCTACAGTAAAGTAAGGATTATAGGCAACCTACCTTTATCATTTTATTTTAGCTTATTTTGTTTATACCTTGCTTCCAAAAATGGTCTGAGGAAAACTACAGGACTATCTCATATATCACTGTGATTATTGTCATTTATTAACTTCTAGAATTGCAGCCATGCTTGAAAACTACTCAGAAGAAAGGGTGCTGATAAGATGAAATAGTGGAAGGTCTTTATGCAGATTAAATCATGGTCTTTCTTTGAATGGTCTTTTAGGAGAAAATGGAATTTCTTTAGGAACAGTTCTTTCTGGAGGATCTTTCTGGTTGCTTTTATTCCTATGATCCCTTAGAATACAGCATTAGCATACCTAGTTAATTTAGGTGTACATCAACACTTTCTATTGTCTAACATAATTGAATCATTATTTTCTCTTAACACTTTATTGGCTTTTTTGTGAATGGTTCCCCATTGCTTTTTGCTCTATAAATATTTATTTTAAATCTATGGAATAATAATAATGGGAAACATTTGAGTATTTCTGTGTGCTAAGTACTGCATTAAGTGCTTTGTGAATGCCATATGGGTATTAACTTATTTAAATATTTAGATAATCTAAGGGCTTTGTTTTAAATATGCTCTGTGGTGATTCATTTTGAAAAGGAAAGTCCCCTTTAAAAATTTAGATTTTTATTTAATCTAACTTGACTCACTTAACAAGGCTTGCCTGCAAATTATATATGGATATATAATTTTTACAAAACAATTTTAGCTTCATAATATCAGCTACAGTCTATTTGGTACATATCATGTGCCAGGCCTGTCCTAAGCACTTTATATAAAGTACCTCATTTAATCCTCACACCAACCCTGAAGATAAGTATTTTATGCCTGTTCTACAAATAATAAAACTAAATTTCAGAGAAGTAAGAAGTCGCCTGATATGTGTATGAGCTGGGATTCAAACCTGGGTCTGAACATCCAATCCTACTGTGAAGTGAGGAGTTTTATTCTTTCTCACCCAAAATCACACGAGGATATTTGGTGTTTCTCTTTAGACATGAAGATGAAAATTGATCGATGCACATGAAAACATAAACTGTTCTGGAAAGCCTCTCAAAAAAAGCCCGCAGGACTGCCTGCAGACAGGGACAGAGGTGAATATTTTAGCTGTGCATGTTACGTGGAAACAGCATTATTTGGCACAGAGCAGTATGAAGACTAAAGGCACAGGAATGGACTCAATCCAAAGGGTTTATTTACTAAAGCACAAAAAAAAACCCAAATTTTAAAACCCTCATATGCTTAAGTCTCACATGTAGGAGCCTCTAGGTCATGGACTTAGACATTAGCTTTAGATGTTGAGGGAACTCCTAAGATATAAATTGTCTAACTGCGTACCTGGGAACCTGTGAGACAGGCTTCCCCAAGAAGGCTCCCAGGACTAGTCCCGAGGGAAATTAGAAATGGTGCACACTCCAATGACATGGTCCCCGAGTCCACCAGGACATGCTCGGGTGTGCAGGCACAGCCCCACAGCCCAGAGCAAGGTCAGGTAAGTCAGTGCTTCTCCAGTTCCCTGACAGTCTACGTCTAGTTGTTTCTTCCTGTTTCCCTACCTACATGCTGACAAGAGGGATTTTCTGTTCTCTTTACTGTTTATACAGAACCTCCCACCCTGGCACCAGGTTACTTTACCAGTAACAACTCCAGAAAGGTTAGGGGTAGGAGGAAAAAACTGGACTAAACTCAGTATAAACCAGTTTAAAGCAGAAGCTCACTCCTACCTTTAACCTATGATTGACATATGGCTGAAAAATTAACCAGTTTCTGCTCCTGCCTCCTTCTCTGTGAAATGGAAAAGGTACTGTTTTGTGAAAATGTTTTAAGTAATCCTCAGTAAACTAACTTGAAATAATGTCTGTTTTCCATTACACATGTACATGATAAACAATGATGACTGACTTCTCGTTTAGGCAGGATTTTTCCAATGTTATTTTCAATGATTTTGCTGGTGAACTCACAGGAATATACCTCGGTAGGAAAATGCTTTAGATAAGTGTCTCCAGTTCTACCATCACTCCCTGACGTTTTTTTCCCCTAGGTACTGATAGAGAAAAAAATAGCAAAATCTACTTCAGCCACAGTGGGTTGGGCAGATGGAAGCACCAGGGGACCCCAAACAGAGTCAAGTTTGCATGAGTCTATTCTGTTAAAGTGTCCTTTTGGCCCTATGTAAAGCAAAACAGATTCTCAGTATGAAATGAGGAAGGAATAACCAGAACTAACTCAACACCATCAACACTGTGCCTTTAATCCCATATCGGCCTTTGTTATCCCCACTGTACCTTACTCATCCTTTTGTGTATCGTTAATTAACGTTTGCCTAAAGGCAACGGTGATTCCAGGCAAGGGAAATAACTAAAATTCTATACACTATACACTTTCCCAACACATACTACGTGATTCGTAAAAATGATAACAGCAGTCATAACGAAAAGTGGTAACACGGTTTTCCAAAAAAACTTGCAGTTCTCCCTCCACCCCTCTTCTTTCCCTACTCACCCCCATGGGAGTCCATCTGCTGCAGAAAATATGAGGCATTAGGACCAGAGAGCCCTTTCCTGCTATTTGCTTGAGAAACAAAGCCTTCCCTCCTCCCAAGTTGAAAGAAATAAAGGAGTCTGAACTAATCAAAACCCGCAAGCCTGCTGGTGGAGCTTCAGCTTGTCAGTGATGCAACTCAGCGGAGAGAGTAACGGCTTCGAGCTTTGCGGAAAATGAGAGAGGGAGAGAAACAGAGACAGAAACACAAAGAGAAAGAAAGAAAGGCATTAACCTGGCCAGGAGTCAAACACGTGCAGGGGCCCGAACGCTGAGAAGAGTATCTGGCAAACGTGGGATCCAATGGGGTGTGTGCCTCCATGGACATACATCTTTGAGGGGGGACAATGTTTCCAGTTCGTATGTCACGGTGGACCGAGAAGTTTATTTTCTTATGCACGGGACTCATACGGGCAGGTAAGGGCCTTTAACTTTTCTCTACTTGTCAGTTTATAGTCTTCATGAATACTTTCTGGCTCTCTGTGATGAATTCTCCAGGACAGAGGGGCAGCCAGGTCATTTATCACACACACTCCCACCATGGGCCCCACACTTCTGGGGTGTCTTTGGAACAAAGAATTGTGAGCACTGGGCTGCCAGGCTGCCAGTGACAGCGGCATGCATTATGCTTCACGGAAAGGCTGTTTCCTTCTTGAGTTAGCCACTCAGAGGCCATGCATTGCCTTTTAAGACTCTTCCAGGCCTCACTGCACTTCCAATGACTAGTTTCTGACCCAGATCCTAAGTTTGCAGGTGCTCTTTCTTGAAATTGACTAGCTTGGACTCCTGGGACTTACAAGCCTTTAGGAATGGAGGGTTGTGCCATCAATTTGGTTTATAGGCAGATGTTAGGAAAAGAAAGGAACATAAGCAGAGGAAGGCCTGGCATAAGACCCTCAGGAAAAGGCCCGAGTTATGAGACAGTGCCCACCAAATGGGATACAATTCAGCAGGACACTAACTGAGTGGCATTAAATGCCATGTTAAAAGTTGCCATCTCTGGCGGCTTTTCAGTCTCTTGGCTTAAAATGTTCGAGTGTTTGATAACCCCATAATTCAGAAGATTTAATTTGCCTGTTGTCGTTCCCTTGCCCACATGCCTCTAATAGAGAGTTACTGTGAGTATGGATGAGACAGGCTCAGCCCATCCCACTCCCCCCACCGACCCCTGCGCGGGGATGGATTTTTAGTTAAAGCGCGGTCTTTACCTGAAATGCGCCTAGGCACATCGGTGATGGCGGGAAGCCCAGTGCCCCGTGTGGAAGACAGCGGGGTGGTAGAGTGGATGGACGGGGACGTCATCTGGCTCAGGTAGGAGGGGTAAGACTGGTCATAGGACCACGGCGGGGAAGACTGTGCCTGCCTGGGGTCTGGGAAAAAGAAGAAGAAAAATCTTTAGTATAGCAACCATTGCCGACTTAGAAACATGCAATCCAAAACTTAGACAGGAAAAAGCAGAAAAAGAGAGAGAGGATAAAAAATGGCTTATATATGTAAGATATATAAGGAATGGCTATTGACCTCTTATAACCCCATCCTTGCCGGCCTTGAATAGTACAAAGCTTTCTAGACTTTGAGTCTCAATGAAAGCAACAAAATGGGTGATGCATAAGGACTATTTGTCTTTCTCTTCTAAATATTTCTATTTGGAAAGTCTAACAGTCATTTCAAAAACAATCTGCTTTGGTTATCTTTACAAAGGGGAATTATATTTATTTTCCATATTCTCTAAAATTCCTCCAGTGAGCATGGATTACTTTTTTTTTTAAGCTAGAATACTTTCTGAACAATTAACTTGGTTAAGGAATATGCAGACTGTGTCTTTCACTGCTGCATATCCAGCTACTTACTATCTTTCAGGCATGCTTTTTGGTTTTAAAGTGAACGATTCCATGATTTCATCTCAGGGCACTTTCTTTCCAGGCAGGTCAATGGAATGGCCCTTTCTAGCATGGGGTGAAGGGAATAAAGGCAGGAATGAGAATGTAGGGGCAGATGAACAGGAAGGAGGGGAATCAGTTACGTTATTCTCAGGCTAAAACTAAACCAGAAAATAACCCGGAAGAAAAAGACAAAATTTAATTCAAAGTCAACTACCATTAAGAACTGACAAGCTTCATCACCAGCCGATTTCAATGTCAAGTACAAGAGTTTCTGACAGTAAGAAAATGGCCCAAAACAGGAGTGCGGGAAAACATTTTTAATCCTATTAGAATCAGTTTAAAAGATGTCATATGTCTGGAATTTGGCCTAGTGTCACCTACAGTCACTATAATAATAAAAGTAATGGGCAGTCAATTGGTTAGGGTTAATTACTGAACATTGACAATATTTTTTGATGTATCTCTAGGAGTTTCTTGGAAGTACAAACTCAAGGCCACATAGATTTATTAAAAGACCTTCTGCTTACATACAGGAAAAAAAAAAAAAGGTAAATGTGCTGTATGTTTCCCAAGCATAAAAAGTATGTATTTCAAACTCTTTTGCTCTTACTTGAGGGCCAATCAAACAAAATCATAAGCAAATTTCTCTTAACACGTGTTTTAATTCTAATTTTTAAATTATGTTACTTTTTAAAATTCTAATAGACCAGGCTGTTCACAAGAATAGCTTGGTATCTTAGAATATGCATGGACCTTGGAATATCCAGAATTAGGTTCAAGTTTTGAGACTTCTACTTTCTGTGTAACCTTGGCTTAATTACTCAGTCACTCTGAGCCTCAGTTTCCATCTATAAAAAGGAGGAAGGAGGAGCAGCAATAATACCTGAATCATAAGAATGTGAAAATTACATGAGAAAACTAGCATAGAAGGCAGTTAATAGGCATTAATTCATATATATATATATATATATATATATTCTGGGTGGCACAGGGATAGTTCCATGTTTCAAACATATCTGAACTGGAGTTAATACATTTGGAATCAGTTTCAAATTATCCCCACACATCACCTATTACTTTTTGAAAAAGTTTAATTTTCAAAAACCATTAATATACTTGAACAGTTAATTCAGGTTTATCTCTAAAAGTAAAAATGAGTATAATAAGATGTGAGTTTTTGAGCTGATTCCTCTGTTAAAACCTCTCAGTTTTTCTATACAGTCAAAGCAGTTTAGTTCAGCTATTTCTTGTTTATTTGTTCAATTCAGAAACAATTTATTTAAAGGCTGTCTAAATAGGACATGCTTCCTTGAGTCAAAATAATTAAACACATCTGGACATGTATCTGATGTTTACTGACATTGACAGATATATAGAAAAATGTCATCCAATTCAATTTTAAGGAACATTTACCTGAGTTTGAGTTGAAATAAAAGAGTAGTGCTATAAATGGTTAACAAACTTTTCCTTCAGACATCTAAATGATACTTGATCATTAAAGGACTTCTGTGCCTTAAAATTCTCAAGGCTAAGATTGTAGAGATTGGCAACAATTCAAATCTGAGTGACTGGTCCTTGTTATGTATCTGATATTGACATACTTCCTTGCCTTACACCATTAATGTAATTCACTATTCAGAGAAACGGTAAATGATCTTCAGATGGAAAAAGATTCATTCCTTACAGCACAGAAAAGCAATCTCATGAGGGCAAGACCTTCTCTCAAGCAACATTTTCAAAAGACAAAAAGGTTGAGAATCACATAGCTAAATAAGTTGGGTACACAGGACTCAAATTTGGATTTGGGTTCTCATCTAACTTCACCAGATGACTTCCTGAGCAAGTAGTCTAACGTACACCATTCCTCTCCTACAACAAGTCATCTGTCTAGGGCTCCCTGCCTAAAAATGACAACAGAGACAAAGAAATGTAAAAAAAAAAATGAGTAAGTGGAATTAGGGTACTCAACTTGAATGTATGATACAGTCTTACAGTTCTCCTTGTGCAGAAAGGTGACTCAGTCCAGTGGGAAACAAGTGGGCTTTCTAGTGAGAGGGTCTGAGTTGGAGTGCCACCTCTGCTACTGATAAGCTGTATGACCTCATCTGGGTTAGCTAACTCTGAATCTCAGTTTCCTCATCTGGAAAATGAGGCAGCATAACACAGAAAACTGAATACAGTGAAGTGGTCATGCATCCTGGCTGTGCAGAAAAGCCTAGGCTCCAATTATACCTCCCTGCTGTGCTGAGCAAATCACTTAAACTTTTAGGCCTAAGTGGTTCACCTATAAAATAAGTAATGATACTTACTAGGATTTTTGTGAGCATTACATGAACTAGGCTATATCTAATATGGTACCTGGCACTCTTAGCACATATTAAGTATATAACCAATGCAAGTGCTATCTATACAATGAGCATTATAATAACTACTAACATTTTTGAAAAAAGAAATGAGATAATGCAAGTAAAAGCATTTTGATAACCATAAAATGCTATAGGAAACCTGTTTTGACTCTCTTTAGGAGCTCACATGGTAAAGGCCTGCCTGGCCTTGTAACCTGGGCTGTGTTTCTCAGTGTTACTGAGCTTTAAGTTCCTCATCTGCAAAATGAAGATGATAATACCACCTCAAAGAGTTGACTCCTCAGAGTGAAGATTAAATAATATACAGTAAATGGCAAATCATCATCATTATCAAAAATAAATATTAAAATATGGCTCTATGCCATCTAGAGTAGGGTAGGGTTTGTCTCATGTTGTTATTCTTAATGACTTCCAAAATCAGACTCAGCATAATGAAGTACAATGCCTGGAACACAATACTCAATAAACAACTACTGAATGAACCTCCCAGGGTGGCGTGAGTGAATAATAAAATATTAAAATTAAGTCATAATTAGTAATTCTCTAATTTTCCCTTTGACTATCAAAGAGGTTTATTTCAGCGAGGTTTTAGGTTTTACATCATGACTACTAGAAAATTCTATTAAAGGATAGTTTTGCTTTTAGTGGAGGCCTTTCCAGATATCCAAGATGAGGAAAAATAACTTCTCACTATCCCTAAACAAGTGAAAAGATTTATCTTTTTTGTTTCTCAAAGGATAGGCTAGAGTCAAGCCAGTCTCTTTCAAGGTCAGTGTCCTGAGTCTATGATATGGCTTAAAGAGAGAAAGAGTTACTAAAGAAAAATAAAATATAAGAACTGCCATATGAGGTTCACTAGATCTGGTATAAAATTTTTTTAAAAAAGGATAGCAACCTTTAAAAAAAAAAAAAAGAAAGCAATGGTCTCCAAACACCCCCATGCCTTCTCTAACACCCTGAGTGAGTGAGTGAATACCAATCCAAGCTCCAACATTTCTGGACAGTGTGATTGGACAAATTATATGACATATCTAAGATTAAAGTTTCCTCATCTATAAAATGGGAGTAAATAAGAATACTTCCCTCATAAAGTTGTCTGATGATTAAATGAGATAATATAAAGAGTTTAGCAGATGGAAAGACCCCAATAGATGTTTTTCACAGTTAAAGACTCTACTTTTACTGAACCTTCATTCTGTATTTGTTTCTAGCCCTTGACCTCTTTTTCTGGCAGAGTACAATTTTTAGGAGAGCTTCCTGTAGTGTGTAGTTCACAATTTGGAGCATATATGACTGTGTTAGTCATGTTGATATGTTTTTACGATGGCTTAACCTTAATCATGTTTCTTCTTAAATTTTAGTTTCTTCCCAGAGAAATACTAATTTTCTAAGTGTATTTTCAAATACCGTGTACTTTAACCTTTTCAATCTTTTAGTGGGGAAAAGAATAGCTGCAAAATATCTTTACTTCCTAAATGCTCAGTCACCAAAAAAATAAAATCCTGTCATAAATACATGATTACAACATATTTGCTTTCTTATGGACAACTTTAGTGCTGATAGTAGAGGAAAGTCACCTTAACCTGATCTCATAAACAATTTCTGAACTCAACTTCCTGAAGAAACCTGAGATTTCTGAGATTTACTCTCAAATTGGATGAGTCAGAACAGGTGATAGATGCTTCTTAGGCATCACCAGTCAATCCTAAAATTACTGATAGGAAAGATACAAGGCCTAGCTCTCGGACAAGCCTACTGATAAACCAGTGACAAACGAGAAACTGTCTTTATCTCAGCCTCAGGTCCCACAGAGCAAGGATAATTCATCCATCACTCTGCCCACCCACGGTTGCATTGGATGGGTGTCTTTTCGAGTCTGCACGGAGGGAAGAGCCATGTCCTAACACTCCAGCATAAACACAAATGTCCTTGACTTTTAATCATGGCCTTGAGGTGACACCCTGGCTGACTGCAATTAAGGGCGTCACCTCAAGGCCATAAACTACCTACAAGTTTTCAGGGGCTAACTCAACGCTATCTCACAGAAAGTTTAAAAAAAATGAAAACCATTGCCAGGCACAGTGTCTCAGGCCTGGAATCCCAGCACTTTGGAAGACCAAG